TGTCGACATGATCTGATTAGGAGAGTAGATGTTTTAGATTTGACTTATGTTAAGAAAGGCAGAGGTAGACCTAGGAAGACATGGACTTATTGTATAAAAAATGACCTTAATTTATTAGAACTAAATGAAAATATGACACTAAGTAGGACGCAATGGAGAAAAATGATTCATGTAGCCGACCCCATATAGTGGGATTAAAGCTTTGTTGTTGTTGTAAAAATTTGTTTGTTGTCTGTTAAACTTTTTACTTATAATAGTTTACCTATGAATTTAAAAACATAACTCTCAATGTTCTATTCCTTGCAAAACCCTACTCAATTTCTCTGCTTGGTCTACCTTTTGCTTGGGTACTCATGAACACTTGTTGTCTTGTGCTTGGCTTGGTTTTGTTCACCTGCAAACTACTTTTTGTTTCTTGAAGTCGTGCTAAGTCTGTCTCCCTTTGTCTCTAGCAGATACCTTAGTTAACTTAAAGAACAACAGAAATATAAATATTATTACTGAAATTTGAAAGGGTTACAAACACTTGACAATAGGAAAACAACAACACAAACATAAGATAGACCACAAGGCAACGACGAAGGTGATGGTTGGCAGTTGGGCAACAGGTATTGTTACTAGTTGGGTGAGATGACAGCAACAATGAAGGATAGAGCAGCAACTAAAGAGGTCAGAGGAGCTGCGAAAGCAGCTGAGGGCTTGTAGGGGAGGTTACGACAACAATTAAAGGGGTTGGAGCGGGGTGGGACAAGTAGGAGAGGTTTGTGGGCTTGATCAGTAGTCTGGGAGTAGGTTGTAGCTTTAACTTGCATTTAGAAAAGAGTACAGGCAGGGTCTTGGCATTGGCAGAAAAGAGCAATTGGGTTTGGATACCCCTAGAAAGGGGTATACGGACTTGCAGCCAACAGGTTAGCGGGAGGGAGGGTTGGCAGTATTATATGAAAGTTGGGGGCTAGATGGTGGAGGCGTCAGTAGGGAGGATGATTGGGGAAGCAACGACGGACATTGAGGAAGGATAAATATCCCCACGCGATCGCGTTACAAGCCGAAAGACCCCTCGAACCGTTGGGGAAGATTACCATCTCAGGCAAGTTACTGCCAGAGTACCTCGTCGCCTTCAGATACAACCTTCGAAGGGAAAAGAGCCCCCAATGGTTAATTTGGATAGAAATAAATAATTTGGATGAAAAAAAAATTGAATCCTTAGACGGAAGACAAGATATTTATAATTAATACAATTAGCTAAAATAGGAAGGAATTAGAATAAGAAGTACGGGCATTGAAAAAGGTAAGGTATAGAAGAGGAAGTAATAGAAATAAATAAGGAAAAGAAATATACGAGAACTAGAAATAGGAAAGGAATAGAAATGGGAAAGAAATTGAAGCGGAATAAGTACCCTCTATGAATTGGAAAAATAGGAAATTAGGAGAGTGAAATTGCTGCAATTCCAACCCCCATGAAGGTCAGCTAGTTCAGTCAGCCGCCCAACAAGCCCTGCATCACTAGCTCGCTTCCATCTTTCTTGCTTGCTCTCACCTTATTTGCTCCCTCACTCTCACTTTACCTGCTCGCTTGCTCTCTTGCTTCTTTTTTCTCATATTCTTTGTGGGTTGCTTGATGTTCTTCTACGGCTCCAATACTAGCTCATTTTCTTCATTTCTCTTATTGGACAGAATTTGCTTGTCCTTTCCTTTGAATTATCAGCCAAATTAATAGATTTTTTTTTTTTTTGTATAATTTGGATTTTACAAGGACTGTATGGGTGAGCTAGTGCTAGAAAGGGGCTCTGATTGGGAGAGAGAGCATTAATGAGCCTGAGTGTGAATGTGAAAGGTAGAGATGGGTTTGAAGCTGTTGATTATCAATCTCTTCTTCTTATGGGTTAGGTCAAAAATTTTTGGAATTCCAAGGGAGTGAGAAAGAACGGATGTGGGGCATTAAGGTCATCCAAATAAAAAGTCTGAAGTTGTCATTTGTGGTTAGTATATTTATGTAAGAGTTGGTCAAAATTTTTTGGGCTATCGAGGGAGGGAAGGAGGGAGAGTAGAGGTAAGGGGTATGAATAGAATATCTTGTTTGTAGAATTGGAGGGTTTTGTGGTGGCCAAGAGAGCTTTTGAGTGAGTGCGAGTGAGCATGGGGGGTAGGAAGATAAAGTAAAGAGAGGGTGATTGGGGTAAGGGATATTGAGGGAGGGAAGGAGACAGCGAGGTGGGTTAAGAGGTATGGAGATCATCCCAGCCAAGAAGCATGATTCATTTGAACGTTAAATAGAATATCTTGCTTGTATAGGATGGGGGGTTTGGGTTGGCAGGAAATTTTTTGAGTGAGAGTGGGCATGAGGGGCAGGAGACGGTAAAGAGAGAGCTTGGAGTTGATCAAAAGTTTTTTTGAGGTATCGAGGAAGGAAAAGAGTGAGGGATAGTGGGGTAAGTGGTATGGAGATCATCCAAGCAGAGAAGTATGATTCCTTTGAAAGTTAAATAGAATATCTTGTTTGTATAAAATGGGTGGTTTGGGGTGATTTGAAGAGTTTCTGAGTGAAAGTGAGCATGAGGGGCGGGGAGACGGAGTAAATAGAGAGATTGATGGATTGGTGTAGGGTGTGATGACTGTCCTTATAGAGAAGTATGAGTTGTTGAATAATGAATATTTTTACGGGATTAGATTCAGAATGCTTCGCTATGAAAGATATGATTGCGGTTTTTGGAGAGAGGGAGGGAGGACTTCAAACCCCTTAAATTTTTTACTTATGGCTGACTTTACTCGCCGCATTATAATGCTTAATGCTTTTATGCTTGTTTAAATGTGTTCGTATACAAATTGAACTAAAACACATTGAAACAATATTTTTTTTAGTTCAAGAAAATCTTAATTATTTCAATGGCCAACATGCAAACTGAATCTTTTTATTTTTGAATTAGATGTCTGCATTTTTTACCTTAGACTTGGATGCTGTTCTTAATTATTTTATTTTGTTTTACATATTGACTTCTACTTTGCTCTTGTTTAGTTTGACACGCAGGAATCTCTTATGAGGCTACCTCTGCCAGAATCCTGGGTGGTAAAATATTTTTAGACATTTCTTACTCGAAGTGTTCTATTGTATTTAATTTACTGAAGCTGCATTATCTTTTCAGGTATCAAAACTGCATGGTCTTATTGATAGTGTCACTTCCAGCTATGAGAAATTTTTCTTTGGAGATGCTGGTAGAGAAATATATGATTTTTTTTGGGGTGATTTTGCTGACTGGTATGCTTGTAATTTTTAATTTTTTTTATATGTTCTTCATAATTTTCGTCTCTTATTTGGCAAAGCACTTCATTTTATTTTTGCATTATTTAGAGTTTATTTTCTACTTCATTTATTGAGGAAAAAAAGGAATGTAAAGTTATTTGTTGATATATTTTTAATTTGCCTTTCAATTAGTATTTGTGTATTCCAAATTGCTGAATTTGATAGATTTTCAAATACATCATCATACCTTTCTTGTCTACCGCCACCTATCATTCGTTGTAGACCTCCATTGTTGTCCACGGCTGTTGACTACAGTCCGCCATGCTCGCTTGCCATCTGTATGTCATCATTGGCCATCACCCACCGCAACAACCAAGAAAAAAAATTAAATGTACGGGTTTTTTTAACAACAATTCAAACCAAAAAACTAATTCCTTGGAATTATGTGACAAACAACCAAACATTATAATGAAATGTAAATATATTGAATTTACTTTGCATTGCATGTAGAATGCACTGAAATCTAAATACTTGCAACCAAATGGCACCTATACGTGAGCTTTTTTCTATGGTGTACTTTATTTTGAATTGGAGTGGTGAGTTCTAGCTCGTTATTTGGTTGATGCCTTCTAAATTATTGTAATAATATTGTATTTCTTCTATTCGCATTAAAATGTCATTAGCCAAGATATCTTATTACTATAACTAGAATATGATTATTTTGGCTTATTAGTCAATTTGATCATTTCGAAATGCATGTGAATAATTTGTATAGTTTTACTTGTTTACTACACATGCATGTTATTTAGAATGAAAAATAAATGATTTATAGTTTGTTTGTATATGCATGACTGACTATGATAGAACACCCCTTGATGATGCTAGTGAGAGAACACTAATGTACCCGTGCACGTAAATAGAAAAAGATATTGATATGTGTCTTAATTGACTGTGTCTTAATTGACACAATTTTAAGACGGTGTCTGCTGTGACGGCTATATAGACATGAAATAATATTGATGTGATAATGATATAGTCTCCTTTAAATAATATATCAAATGTTTATATTAATTTATAAAGAAGCTTAACTGAAATGCATATTGTTCTTTCTTTTCCTTGTATTGATGTACTTTAGACATATTGGTACACTGGCTTTTTAGCTCACAATTTTTTTAACTAACATTTTAGGTTTAATTAAATTATTAAAAAATGAGGGATATATGAGAAAATATTTATAGAAGACGCGAAAATCCATCAACTAGGTAATTATAAATTATACCGTTTAATTTTAATTTTTAGTTGCTCTTTCATTTGTTGACTTGTGAACCAATATAAAAAATTTAATTCACCGGTCATACTGTCCGTTCTTACCTTGGTTAAACGAAACCCTGGGTCGGGTCGTGACACTAGCATTTTAGATGAAGGCTAAAAATAACACAGAAATTGGAAACATGACAATCAGGGGCACTGAGCAGAAAGAAGAGCAGCCCATAGCCAACCAATGATAAGTAACAGGAGGGATACAAGTAAAGAAAAAGCGGAGCATAACATAAGAAGCCCAAAGGGCGAAAGAAGCCATCAGAAGGCATCAGCCAACAATAAAGAAATGCCACACGAAGCCATAAAAGGTAAATGACCAGCAAATAAAAAGAAGCTATAGGAAGGGGGTTATGACCTTAGTGGTATGAATAAAAAACGGCCTCTTTGCTATAAAGTAGGAGGACTGTATATTCATACAATCATACCTTGGAGAGGCAAGAGTTTTGTTCACCATTTGATTGTTTTTTAGAAACAGATTAAATTGGAAAGAAATGCAGTCACTTGTAATTCAAATGTGAGTGGGTGGTTGATCATGCCAATGGGGCAGTATTCAAAGCACGAATTTTCAGAAGGGAGCTGTTAGCATGGTTTATTATTATTTTCTTAAAGTTATTTTCTTAATTTTTCAGTTGTTAGCATGGTTATATGTGAAAAAAAAACTATTAGGGTTTACATAAACATACAGAAGCATCTTCCTACTCTCTTTAATCATCCAGAACCAGGACAATCAATAATTAATTTCACTTTTGTGCATCTTTTTTATGCAGAACTTCTCCTACGTTTACTGCTTTATTTTTAGTATTCTGTATTTCTGAACATGCATTTAGGTTTCAACCTATTCTAGGTACATTGAATCTAGCAAAACTCGCCTGTATCACTTGGGAAGTCATTCAGATGCATCCATTGCACAGGCTGTTCTTCTATATGTCTTTGAAAACATTTTGAAGCTGCTACATCCTTTCATGCCATTTGTCACTGAAGAATTATGGCAGGTAATGTGTGCTATTTTTTATCAATTTACTTGCATTTGAGTATTTTGGTTCGGTTAACACTTTAAAGTGCTGATGATATGAAAAATCCATGGTAATCAGTTTAACTGTTTATCATTAGTAGACGATTTACATAAACAGCCCTGAATTATTTGCAATTTTTTCTTCAATCGTGATTTCTCTCCCTTATAATGTGCAATGTTTTTAGTGCTTACATGCGGTTTTCCTGCCCTAACAATTTAATTATATTTATCAGGCCTTGCCATTACGAAAGGAAGCTCTTATAGTGTCTCAGTGGCCTCAGAGTTCACTTCCAAAACATAACGCATCTGTCAAAAGGTTTGAAAATCTACAGTCACTGGTAAGTTTACTAATGTAAATTGTATCAACATTGCTGTCTTTGGTACTTTATTTCTTCTAAAAATAGTTTTTTTTATCACTTGTACCTGCTCTTACCACGATGAATTTATAATCCTTGGGTGACAGATCAGAGTTATTAGGAATGCAAGAGCTGAATATTCTGTTGAGCCAGCAAGACGAATCTCCGCTTCTATAGTTGGGAATGCAGAGGTTCTTGGTTATGTATCTGTGAGTATTTCTCTTAGCTTTCTTAATATTTTTACATACTCTCTTGAGAACACAGATTAAACGTTGCCAAAAACAACATCAAAATGTCGTTAGTAGATATTTTTGCATTGCATTTAGAGCTGTGTAACACTTTGTTCCTGCCATCACTTTTCTTTTGATTTTTTTGATTTGTATGATTGGAACGATTGTAGCTCGGTTGAAAGAATCCAGCAAGTTACGAATGGTCTGAAAATTCTTTATTTTCTGGACCAAATTTGCAAATCTGTTCTTTTAAATAGATGATGAGGGAATAGGGAAACAGAGGAATGTTACAGCTGAAGGTGGCAGGTTTCTCTAAGTTTTGATTGGAGTGGCATTACTCATTTGCATTTTCTTCATCGATATCTTTTGTTTTTACGTGGATAGAAGATTAATTAATTTAAGATTTGCTGTAAAATTTGGATAAATTGAACAAGATTGTCTGTGGGTAATAATAAAAAGGAAATATGCCATAGAAATTGGCGAAACTAGATGATATCTCAATTTCAATCAAATAAAGGTATTGTAGATTTCAACACCCAGAATAGAAATTCTCTTTCATTGCTTGACAAGTCTATCGGCATCTCATGCCAGCCTAAGCAATTGAAATTTTTTTCACTGAAGAAAGAGTCTTGTCTTTGCTAAAATGCCTGGTCATTTGCCCACTGTAATGCTCTTGTAAAACTAACTGTGATATTGGTCATATAGCTTGGCTTAGCAGCGAGTCCAATTCTTTTGGAAGTTCTCATAAGTGGCATACTAATCTTTCATTACTTCAAATTACCTTTGACTGTATAAAAGTGATTAGAAAATGATGAGGACTCAATGCATGATTAGTATAAAATGTGAACTTACTCTCACAATAGCATAAAATCATGGCTTTGTGCTGGAGCACAAAACAAAATGAAGACAGATACTCCATCGAAGAGACATGTTTATTCTTCAGCTTGTTCCGACTTTTTAAGAACCTCAAGATTTCATGAATAGTATAAAAAGTGAACTTTCACTCTAGTGAATAGCAACCAGTGATTAAGGATCTGTTTCGGGCAGCTGGAGCTCATTCAGTTGTTGCAATTGGAGCTGCAACGCAAAAGTTGCTGCAGATAACTTAGTTGTCTGTTTGTTTTTTGTAGTTTGAAAATAGCTGTGCTGTAGCTGTGAACTGAGTGATATCGAAGTTGACCAACAATAACATAAAAAACAATTATTATTACTGAATTCAAATAAGAATTTGTAACCAAGTAAATGGAAATATTGAATTGCAACAGTCACGACTTAAATCACGCGACTATCGTGAATATAATGTGTTGTTTGTGGCAGTTAAGGGCATGGAAGGGAAGTGATGAGTTGGGGAAGTGGAGCAAGTGGCGGGTATGGCGGGTAAATAGTAGTTGCTTGCTGTGCTGGCAACAACTAACGGGATGGGGTGGTTGGACAATAGCGGAAAACTGTGGAAGACAGCGACGACTTGCTATCCTAGGGTGGCATCAACTAAGAAGGGTGGTTCATGGCGGTTGGAACAGTAGCAAGGCTGCCGGGAGGGTGTTTCTTGGCAGTTGGAACAACAGCAAGGTTGTCAGGAGGCAGTTCTAGGCAGCGTCAGCGAGGAAGGATTGATTTGGAGTGATAAAGGGAGGACGGGGAAGGGAAGATTGGATAGAAAGGGGAAATTGCAGGGAAAATAGCAAGGACAGTTGTTCTGGGGGTGGCTGCAGCAAGGGCAGGTTACAATGAGCGACGTGGTAAAGATAGTCACAATCTCAGGAGCGATATACAACCAAAGCTCCACTTGACTCATAGATATAAGCCTCGACAAGAGAACATAGGCGCTGACGACTATCTCGAACAAACACATGACAAAAGCTAAACTTAAATTATTAGAAAAGCAATTATATAACCCTAAAATAACTTAAAGTGAACTCTAAATGGGAGAGGTGCTACTCTCCTTGTGAGAACAAGCCAATCAATAGAAGACTTGGACTGGTTAGGTTCGTGCATCCAAACACAATACTACATCCCCCAATCATTGTGGATGGGACACAGGCATTAATGTTGAGTTGTGATTTTGTTCACTACCTTCTAATTTATGCACATATGCCAAGAACCATCTTTTTTCGGCGCAATTAGGGTTGAAGCTGCACATGAATTATTATTTTATTAGACCAAACCTCTAGCCATCAAATTTGTAACTTCCGCAACTCATTGTACTCGGTTAGTCACGTCCATTAGGCTGGTTCGTTTGGGTAAATCGATTCTGGAATGAAGTTTATGGCATTTTGGATTTCACTTTGTGGTGGCAACCTAAGAGATATGTTTTTGCTCAGAGCATTAAGAAATTACTTTATTAGGGGTTGTATTACATCAGATATCGGTTCCTCTGACTTAGTGCCTTCTAGGGCCATTAATGCTAGTTCTACTTGTCATGACTCGACGTGAGAGTTTGGAATTATTAGTAGGAACAGACGACCAGGTGATAAAATTCAATTTGTATCATTAACTAATACAAATAATCATCCAAATAAGTTGAAAGAGCTACAATAAATGAAAATAAATTGAAACAATTAAAAATAATTACACCTTCTTGAATGATTGTACTATTAAACAAGTGACAAATGACTTACTTGAAAAATCAAACGGTAAAGTTTTTATAAATAAAAATAATTGGCGGTGGAATAATATTGTGCAAGAAAAGATAAATATAAAAAGTTTTGTTATATAAATTGGTTTAAATGTAAAAGTTTAGAGAATTGAAAAAAATATAAGGTGACCCATAAAGAGTCTAAGAGAGTTTGTGATGCTAAAAATTATGTTTTTTTATATTTTTTTAATAGATTAGATACTAAAGATGGTGATATATATATATATATATAAAAGAAATGTAAAGCTTTAATTCAAGTAAAGTGTATTAAAATGAAAATTTAAAAGTACTTTTTTTAGAGAAAAATATTCAACATATACGATCGACATTAATGAATTTATTTCATTAAAAATAATAATTTCTTTGATTTATATAGTTGCGATAACAAGAAGAAAGTTGATGAGGCTTTAAAAAAAACCAAGTGTCAAAAATCAGTAGGACTTGATCATCTAACAAAAGTGTGGAAATATTTAGTAGATTTGGGAATTTCTTAGCTTACTAAATTTTTTAATATTATTTTAATAATTAAAAAGATATCTGAGAAATGGAGGAAGAGTATTTTGGTTTCCATTTTTAAGAATAAAGGGGATGCACAAGATTGTGTAATTTATAGAGAAATTTAATTAACGTGTCAGACAATAAAATCATAGAAGAGAGTAATTTAACATAGATTAAGACGTGATACAATGATTTCTCATAATCAGTTTGGATTTTGGGCATGTCTACTATAGAAACTATACAATTATTGAAAGGTTTGATCGAAAAATACAAAAAAAGGTGTCATGACCCTGCCCAGTTCTTAGAATTAACTAAGGCAGGAACAATGCTCGGACGGTATTAACATCTAACTATCAACACTTTGAAAACTTTCAATACATATAAAAGAGTCACTAATTCATAAAATGCATTAAAATCCAAAACATCCAGAAACAATAACATTAAAAAATAACATCTCAAGCAAGTACAAAACATTATAGTAATATTTGAAAGAAATAGTGAAGAGAAACTATCACTCTAACAAATATACTTTGCAGCAGTTGTCCTCCTCTGGTAACTATCAGACATATCAATTTAAAAATTTTCTTTTCCTGAAAGAGAACATTTATTTTAAGTGTAAGTTTGAATTAGTAATTATAGTATAATATGCATTAAATTTCTTATGCTATTTATGCTATGAATGAATGACCAGAGGTAAATGCATTTTTTTTCATCAAAACTTTAAAATTATTCTTTCCCGTTTCATTTTAAGTATTTTTCAAATTAACCATTTTAATAGTCATCACAGGATTACTGTCAAACCCAAACGTATCTTAAAAATGTGTACATTTTATTTCATTAGAACTTTAAAATTATTCCTTCTCGTTTCAATCTAAGTATTTTTCAATTTAACCTCTTTAATACTCATCACAAGATTGCCGTCAAACCAAAATGTATCCTCCAAAATGTGCCCAAAGGCACCCTCAAAATGTGTCCGAAAATACCTTAAAAATGCATCCGAAGGTACCCTCAAATTTACACCTGAATGTGCACCTTTATCATTTCCTTTAATATGCACGATTATATTGCATCCCCTTCCGGTACTAACTGGGGGTAATCATGTATGGCTTAAACCTTTACCTTGCATTTCATTTTCTTTAAATTACATCCTTTTAAAGACAGTAAACATTCATTTTCACTTTTCCGTTTATTTCCTTTTATTCTTAAGCTACAACATGCCTAAAATTATAAAATAATTTTTTAAAGCATTAAAGAATTTTTTTATTTAATAAATTTTAAATTTAATATATATAAGAAAAATAATTACTCTCCTTAGCCTTAAGAGACCACTGAAATACTTTAACCATTCACTTCACTTTTTTTTTATTACCACCTATAATAAATGATTGTGATATCATTTGATAAGAATTCTATTCTTAAAGGAAATACTTAATATATCTAATGAGAAACTATTAAAATGATACAAGTAATTTTGCAATTTATTACCTTAAAAGTTTGATTTGCTTCCTTGCATATAATTACCCTTTTTCTTTTACAACATTAATTGATTCACCCTCCATCCTTCTATTTTAATATATGATTAATTTAATTGTGTCATGAGCATAAATAAGTAAAAAAATAATTTCAATTTAAGCAAATTTACATCATAAAACATTAAACACCCAAAAGCTTTGGTTCTTACCGTTTTCACATAAAGCCCAATTTCTCGCACAAGCTAACTCTCTTCTTCTTAGCAGTAAAATCTTCCACTTATGATGTATGTTTCAAGTGACTTTATATTAACACATTACTTGATTAAATTCACACCCATAATTATATATATAACATTTTATTAATTTACTAAATA